CTCCCCCCCCAGGAACCAGCTGCTTTTCATACATTCCTTGTGCCAAGTTAACGGCTTATATTTTTTTCTAAACAAGTTCCACTTTACTTTTTTTCAATCAGTCCAGACAGATGGCAACTAAAGAAAACACTTTCGTGTCAATCTGGTGGATACACTCGCTGAAATACTTCTGCCAAGAAACAGCAGACTAAACATGCACAAGGCCAAATAAAGATGCTTCTTTTACAGGGTAGAGGTACAGACCTTCTTAGGACTTAGAGAATTACAATAATAACTGTAAAGGGCCTGCAGGGAGCAGCTGTGCCACTTCTGATTTGCAGCACAGTCTAATTGGGGTGACAGTATTCTCTCAGAGCAAGCAAGAAGGGCACCACATTTCTAAAAAACATCAGTAGGGGATGTTCGTTTTATTTTTTCACTGTGGGTACCTGCCAGTTCTGGCACCTTTCTTTACCTGGGCTTTACTCATAAGAATGGAATGAGCCTTGTGGAGTTTGGCTGGCAGGGGCCAAAATTAATTTGTTTTACTATCTTATAACAGAATCGTATGAATGATGCCTGAATCAGTGTCACACAAACACATGATCTGTGCCAGCCTCTGATTTTCTACTACCACTTCGTCACATGCAAATAACAGAGCCAAAAAAGGCGGTCTGACGACAAGGGTGCCACATGGATGTTGCATGTTGCCTGTGAAAAATATGGTTAGAATATTCAGAATTAGGTATACATGCTATAGAAGACAAAATATCATCACAAACAGTGCTACAAAGCATTGCTTAACACTTACTGACATCTGGCTTGCTATGCAGTAGTCACTGACTAAATTATTATAGAACCCGCATATAAAACCTATTATCATTTCAGTCACAAAGGAATGAGCCAAAGAGGACTGAGGGTGGCTTGGTCCTTGGAAAACTAGCTCTGTGGCAAGATGCAGCAAAAAAAATCAAGAGAAGTAGGCTGTGGAACACACAATACTTGCAGATGATACCAAACTGTGGGGAGGAGTAGATATACTGAATGGTAAGGCTAGGATTCAGAGAGACCTAGACAAATTGGAGAATTGGACCAAAAGAAACCTCATGAGGTTCAATGAAGAGAAATACAAAGTCCTGCACTTAGGATGGAACAATCCCATGCACCAGTACAGGCTGGGGACTAGATGGCTAAGCCACAGCCTTGCAGAAAAGGACATGGGAGTTATAATGGACAGTAAGCTGAATATGAACCAAGAGTGTGTCCTTTTTGCAAAGAAAGCTGATAGCCTACTGGGTTGCATTAGTAGGAGCATTACCAGCAGATCCAGGGAAGTGATTATTCCCTTCTATTCAGCACTGGTGAGGCCATAGCTAGAATACTGTGTTGTTTTGGGGTCCCCCAGTACAGAAAGGATGTGGACAAATTGGAGGGCATCCACTGGAGGGCAATGAAAATGGTGAGGGGGCGGAGGCACATGACTTATGAGGAGAGGCTGAGGGAACTGGGTTTATTCAGTCTAGAGAAGAGAAAACTGAGAGGGGATTTAATAGTAGCCTTCAACTACCTGAAGGGGGGTTCCAAAGAGGATGTAGCTAGACCAGAGGTGGGCAAAATACAGCCTGCAGGCCAAATCCAGCCCATGGGGGGACATTGTCCAGTCTGTGACGGTCCCTTGGCCCCACCTGGACCAGGCACTGTCTGGCTCGTGGCGTGTCCTGCCACCCTCTGGGCATGCAGCAGGGCTGGAGCAGCTCTGTAGCTGGACTGCCTTTCTAGGCAGCCCGGGAGGCGGTGGCTTCTTCTGGCTGCTGCCACTGCTAGCCCCAGCTCCATGGTACTGTCAGGGACCCCCATGCACAACCCTGACCCCAGCCTGCCCCGTGCCTGCTCCAGACTCAGCCCAGCAGACCAGAGCAGCTCTGGACCAGCTGGAACCGCAACAGGACAACCTAGGTGCAGGCTCTGGGTGGCTGCAGCAGCAAGGGCCTGGTGGTTGGAAAGGAGGAGCCACTTTTCCCCCAGGCCCAGCAGCAGTGCAGCATAGGTGGGTGGTCCAGAGCAGACACAAGGTGGGCCAGGGATGGGGCTAAGCACGCAGGCTCTGGCTAGTCTGGAGCTGGTCCACCCTGTTGAGCCAAGTCCAGAGTGGCTAAGGGCCAGTCTGGGGTCATGGCTGTACATGTGGATCCCCACTGGTCTCCATGGGGCTAGGGCCAGTGGCGGTGGCAGCCAGAAGGAGCCACTGCCGCTGACTGCACTGCCTAGAAAGACGGGGCGGGCCAGGGTCGGAGCTGGGGCTGTGCGCTGTTGGCAGTGGCGGGGAGGACCCACAGGGCACGGTGCTGACTGGACTGTGACAGCTGTCCAGAACTGCCTATGTGGCCCATGGGCCCAAATAATTGCCCGCCCCTGAGCTCAACTGTTCTTAGTAGTGGCAGATAACAGAACAAAGAACAATGGTCTCAAGTTGCAATAAGGAAAGTTTAGGTTAGATATTAGGAAAATTCTCACAGTAAGGGGGTAATTAAACACTTGAACAGGTTACCCAGAGAAGTTGTAGAATTTCCATCCTTGGAGGTTTTTAAGACTTGGCTTGACAAAAGCTTGGCTGGGATGATCTAGTTGAGGATGGTCCTGCTTTGAGCAGGGGGTTGGACTAGATGACCTCCTGAGATCCCTTGGCCCCCCTAATTTCCTATGATTCTAACATCAAACTGTCCAAAACCTTACTAAAGAACAAAATTCCATCTATTCTTCTACATGCTCCAAGCCATGGACTGAACCTCTTTCTGGAAAGCAGAATCCGTTAGAGCATAAATGAGATGCCACAAACACATTGTTGTGTCTTCATCTTAAGCTTTAGGCAGGGCTGACTGTGTTTCCAATATGGGAAGAAGGGTTGTTTTTACAGTTATTGATCAGCATTAAACTTCTGTCACTAATGAAACAATGGGGAATATTTAGGGAACTTCCAAACTAATACTATGCCATTCTACAATAAGTGATAGAGACAGAATACTGCAATATATAGTATTTTGAATCATTGCTGTAGAACTGTCTCATTTTTTAAAGAAAAGCTGTAATGGTCCAAAAGACTGAATGGATATGTTACATTAAGTCTCCTCCTCTATAATTTGGTCTTCAGACTGGTTTTATCTACTTTTCACTAATGCACTTTCTTCATTCATTCTCTTCCAGTACAATGCTTCTGAAGCTGTTTCCACCAGTATCTGAGGACCAGCACCAAAAGTACATATCCTCTCCTTTATAGCTTTAACATCAGGCTGCATTTTTGAGAGGTCAGTTAGCTGGGGGCTGAACATCTGCCTGTTAGTGTGAAAGTAGAACTTATTTTGGCAGCAACTTAATTATTTTTTTTTTTAAATGCAGTCCTGACTACCCAGATAATTTCTTATCAAGTGGCAAACTCTATTCCTTTGCTATAGCTCATATCAATGTACAATGATGCTGATTGGCCTTATTTTTCTAGAAGAGTATTCAATGTAACACATTATTTGCCAGGGCATTCTAATTTCATGCCAAAATACCTATAAATCTAAAGATGTAGGTATCTAAGTAACCAGGGATCAGTTTAAAAGCTATATCCAGGAGACAAATCCTCAAAAGATACTATTAACTAGATTGTTCTGTAGCAAGGACATTCAGTAAACAGATTACCTCTAATAAGCTTATCCTGTATTAAAGCACTAATGAGTTGATGTAGCAATAAGACAAACCTCAAAGGCAATGAATTATAGACGTGCAGTTGGACAAAGGGAATGGAATACGATTTTGTCTTCTCCTGCAGTGTTACTCAGTGGTTCATCCCACTGCTACTCAGTGGTTGCACCTTAAAAACTACTAGTGTGCAAAAGCTTGTAGCTTCACCCACTGAACAGGTCACTTATCTGTGAATCCCACCCATAGAGGCAAACTGAGCTTCACACAAAATTTTCATTGCATCTCCAGGATTATTTAAAAGAGTGCTTCTGATTAAAAGTTTGCCTGAAAGATTTTACTGTATAGGTTTCAACGTGGAACTCAATACAACTCTTAGTTTCATCATTAAACTATCAGAACTCAAGAATTCAATGATGGGTCTATCAAAATCCACCTAATTTCATCCAAGTTTTGCACCGTATTTTTTAGTTCATAAAAGCCTTAATGTTAAGGTCCCAATGGGACTTCAAATTGTGGTAAAATGGCACAAACTAATCTTGTGGGGAAGACCAGCTAAGACTCTAACCAACAGAATTTAAATACACCTCCTTGCACTGAGGGATATATAAAAAATTCTACAAATTGTAAGGCAACTTCTAATTTTCATAGAAAGAGGACAGATAGAAATTTGATGGCACCAAATTTCTCAGTCCTACACGTATCACTAGGCATGCTGCAGATGATTCTGAATATAAAAAGGGTCTTCCAAGTTTGTTAAAAATGTTCCTATTATTAAAGTAACAAAATTGGCACTAATGTAACATCAGTTGGCTGCAAGCTAAAAGGAAACCATTTAATTATCTCCAACGTATGTTAAAGTAGCCTTGATTTAGGTAAATGTCAGGGAGCAATGGATATCTCGAATCAGCAAAAGAAAATGTGAAATAATATTAGGGAAGCCAAGATAATAAAAACGATTACAAATGCTAAATGAAATGTAGGCAGAAACAACAGAGAATAAGAGGCTGGTGAGCAGAAAGATTTAGGAAGGCTGAAGCAATTATCCATTAAGAAATGAAGTCTTGAGTCATATTACAAATCAGCATGTCCCATCAAATCTAGGTAAGAATGTGCCAATTAGTGGTGCAAACATTCCAGTTATGAGAATATCTGGCTGTAATAATGTATTTGAGAAAGTTAAATAGCAATGTTCAAGCTCTGAACCCAAATGATGATAGTAGAGATTCAGTCAATTTTAGGGGTACAATTTCAGAGCCATCCATGCCAGATTAGACTTGCAGTTATGCTGACAAGTGAGAGACCAGTTGTCATCTGGAGTGTCAAAGAATAGCTTAGCACTGTCAAGCTTTCATTTACATATTTCTCTCTCTAAAAATCCTGTTCACTAAACACCAACCATATAACCTTGCTAGTGTGGATAAAACATTTTTTATATATTTCTACAATTAGCAGTTTGAATTAAAAATAAAAAAGTTCACAGGTTTGTGAGCTGTCAGAAGAAAAATCCACAAAGTGTTTCTTTCTGTTTATTTAATCCGCTTGTGAAGATGCTGTGAAAAGCGAAAAATAATGATGCACAGCAAAAAGCCTCCTGAGAATCCAGTCATTGATTTAAAAAAAAAGTTAATTAAGAATGCATGCCTTCAGAATGCTATCTAATTTGGCATACAGGAACAAAAAACATCTAAGAGAGAATTAAAGGCAAGTCCCATGATAAAGATGGTTTGGCTTGGATTAAACTGCTAAAAACATCAGCCTTTAAACACTAGAAAAAAATATACCTACATCCAATGGGAGTATTAGCATTGTAGTGAAAACCTCTATATAACACAATATGTTATGATTGCAAAAAGCAGTGAAAATATATGGCTTAATATATCTTTTCCTTTTAAGCTTTCAGGGTTTTGGGGAGGAAGATGGGTGGCAATAATTGCTTTTTATGGATGGTTTTTGGCTAAGTGGTCATGGTAAACAGACACACAACTAATCTGATTTCTATAGACTTTACAATTAGAAATCCCTAAAAA